AGGAGGAGGAGGAAAAAATTTTGGGTTTGGAATTCACGAGGTGTTATTAACAAAAAAGTGTGGGAGGAGGAGGGAAAAAAGGACTTACAGCATGGAGTGATGCAGCAGCAATCACAGCAGCAGTCATCACAGCAGCAACAGCTGCAGCAGCAGCGACCACAACCCCTTCTCGGCATTTTTAATGTTTCTTGGCTTTGCTTTGTGCTTGGTGTCTCTCTTTCGATGTGTTTGACGAGACCTCGAGCACCTTTATATACCTACAGAAATGCGTAATTTCGTGAGTAAATTCCTCTCCTTTTTTTTTTAGTAATTCTTATATCATTTCATCGAGTTGCACAACCTCCACTATCCCTTCCTCCAGGCACCGTCTGATTGACTCGGTGAGGGGGGCTCTAATTGCCGTGAATCCAAATGACTTTTGTTTGGTAATAACCGTCTTATTAAGTGTCAATTAGGCGTCTCGTCTTCTTCGAGTGCAATAAAGCTGTTGCGGGTAGGGGTGATGTGTACGCAGGCTAAAGGACGGAATTTTTTTGTTTTTTTCTTGTTTGCTTTCCCTCTGAGCTAATCGGATGAGAATGGCGTGTGGTGAAGAGGCTATTGATCAAACTATACGGCTGTCCATTCGCCCACTCAGGTAGTCATCAATCCGGCTTAGGTGATAGTCGACTAGTTGCTTACCCACTGTTCCCGTTTTAATCATTTCATCCGTCCCTGGACCCACCCAATTATCCATCCGGTATCCATCCATCCAGCAACCATTTATCCATCCCACATCCAACCATCCATCTATCCATTCGGTTGCTTACCTATATCCCGTTCTTCCAAGTGGTACTTCACTACTCATGGATATTTTCTATGACTAATTGCTTTAGATGAATAGAAACAGAACAGAACAAAAATATTCGATCGGAAGGTGAAGAACTTAAAGAGAATGGTTGTCAATCTTCCCTAATTGACTTGTAATTGCTGAAGGATGAGGCATGGGAGTTGACGCTTTGGTAGCACAATGAATGAAGTACGAGACGGTAGGTGGAAAGATCACTTGGCCAGATTTCGACTAGTCCATGCAACCTCAAAGGAGCATTTCGATCTCTTGTGTTTTCATCTTCTCCAAGACCCTTCCATCATCCAGTTTTCTTGTTCGTTAATCCAACAAGGCTTGCAGACCATTTGTAGATGGAACCTTAAAATAGGGAAGGATATTATTTAGCAAAAGGTCACCCTATGACATCGATATCGGGTCGCGCGCCTTCCTTGCATCGAGATTCACGCATCCACTTTTCAGTCCTTTCATCCGTTAATTCCCACCTGTTCTAGATGCTAAAAGTAGGGCGATGACTTGTTTTCCGAACCTCGTCTTTACTAAGTGATAATAGTGGCGCAAAGGAAGGCATTTTAGTTTGTCTTTCAGGTAAGTTTCATTACAGTTCAAAATCATTTAATTCATCGCCATAAAAACACGTTTGTAATCGTTCTTTACTTTTGGATGCATTCTTTTTTTCCCATCAGAACATCCACCATTTCATTTATCTACCTAATCACCCATCCACGTGGTAGTGTACTCGCCTAGTTGGTCGTCCCAAATCTACGTGTCCAATCCTGATGCTACCATCGCATTTCAAACCATGGTAATGCTAATCCAGGAAAAAATGTAATACTTTATTTTTTTTCTTCGAAATTTTCTAACCTGGGGCCTGCTATGAATGTTTGTCCGTACTACTCTGATCCGTCAATGTAACCACCAACCTTGAGCCCATTAATCCTCTACCTATGGGTCCGTCAAGCCCGTACCCATCCATCCATTCATCCACTCATTATTCCATCTCCTCGTCTGTGCATCAATCCATTTCAGATCCGTTTTTTATCCACTTCAAATCGAATAATCTATCCCACTCATTTCATTTGTACCAAGCTTTTTTATCAAGAAAAATAAAATGAAATTAATAAAGACCTTTTCATAAAAAAAGTGCATTTTTGAGGATTCGCCTACTAGAAGGGTGCTGCCCTTTCTGAAAAATTAAGACAAAAATGTGTAAATTGTTTATGTGGAATTAAAAAAAAATGTTTATCTGTTTTTAATTCACACACCGCGTTCTAACTGATGGAGGCAGGTGTCAATCACTACCGTGAAATTCGTAGTTAAAGCTGTGCATCTCTCGCCAAAAGCCTATAAAATCGTGTTAAATAATAAAAAATTCAAGTGTTTTTTTTACAAAAAAATGATTGTGTAGATTTTTTCATAAGGATTAACACCTTTCCTTTAAGTGGTATGAAAACCTATTCACACTGAACCTAAATACATTGATATAGGATGGTTGCTCGTGTCAAACCGGGATCGCCGAGTTTGTACTGCTGATATTGCACCTCATGGCACTTAACTCTCCCCATTGTCCTCTACCTACACACTTATGCAGAGTTATTTAAACCGTTAAAAGACTTCTCCGTGTGGCTTGACTAGCTTGTCTATCTTGTCTCCCAGAGGTCGTGAATGATCCTTTTCACCGTTTTAGGGTGATAGTTAACAGACTGTGCGTCGAGCATGCCTGTCAGGGCTACAGACCTGGAAAGACTGGTTGAATTAGCTGCTAACAGATGTACTAGGAGTTGCCCTTGTTGGCCCTCAAGAGTAACCATGAGAGAGCTGAGCTTTTACCAGCTTGATTTCTGCGTAGGCACGCATCCACTCACCACCAGCTTTGCCTGGCAACTTAACAAATGGCGTGTCCACTTTTGGATGGGCTCACCACAACATTAGGGTCGGTAGTCGATTACATCACAGACTTGCCGCTTAGTTCTACATGGGGTTCTGTCGGAAAAGTATTTCCAACGAAAAACACCAGCCAAATTATATAGCCCGGGTAGATATGTATCAGTTAAAAGATGGAATAATCGCATGAAGGTGGAATTCGACTCCCGATCGCACCGGAAACTCAAAATTCCCGATCTGACTCAAATACCTCTCCAATTTGCCCACCAATATGATTTCGATGACCGTTGCACTGTGAATTCCCGTAGATTAAACTATCAATAGGTGTAGTGTTTAAATTTTTCAAATGGTAAATGAAGTGGGTTCGCTCATCCCCGCTGTTAAGATATTCGCTTCGAATCGAGTCCCCCTCAGAATTAGTATCAACACAGAAGGAGGTTTCGTTCCCAGCCCAGGGAAGGACAAAAGAGAGGTGGAACTGGATAGCGAGGTGTGTTGCCAAGGCAGGCAAATCTGACCCCCGTTTTTGGGATTTAGTCAGCAAAGCACGTCTAGTTGGTTTATCAAAAATTGGCCAGCAGGTTATAAGTATCGTTACTTATATCCTTTGCAGTAGAAAGGATATCACCCACCTCGCAAAGCAATTCATTACATAGAAAAGAATGGGAATACTGTTTAAGAATAAATATATGATCCCTTTTCCTACCATAAGCAGGTCACAAGTTTGCTTGACGGTCCATTAAACAGTCCCCAACTGGAGAAGTTCTCAGGGGGCATTATGATGCATCTTCCCCTCATTTTCAAATTACGGAAAAAAATTGGCTAGCAAATTATTACCAACTACTCCTTTTAACAAAACTAGGGCAGACATCACAGATAAACTACAAACGATTTGAAAGCTTCGCTTGACAAAAGCGAGACTGAAACCGTTTAAGTTCAATGGCGGGCTACAAGCATTTCAAGGTCATGAGGGAGGTGGCCAATCACGTTGCTGCCACTAAAGGCATTGGACGCTAGCCACAACACCACCTAGAAGCCTAGTTTGATTACTCAGGAATAGGCTGAAAATAAGCCCCGGCTTTTTTAGAAATAGCCTTCACTCTCGCCTATTCACTTCACATTTTTTTAAAAGGACATTCTGACGTTGTTCCACAGCACCAAATGTGCTTCTAAAAGGTGAACACCAAGTTTTACCATGTAAAGCTCTCATATTCCAATTACATTATTGACAAACGTTTAAACATCTTTTTTGAAAAATGATTGGCACTTCATTCAAATGAGACTCGCAGACAGTGCTTGCAATCGAAACCCTTGAACAGACGTTAATAAACCAATCAGAAGAGGGGCAAAAATAAGGTTCCGCATTTGATTGGTCCGACTTACGGTCGATCTGAAATTTATGCACAGAACTCGTCTCAAATTTCTATTGAGCAAATTTTGATCGTTTGGTCGAGAATTATTAAATCGCCTATTCTGAACAAAGTTCTAGGTGTTAAAGGCCTCTTTTTTCAACTTTAACATTGAAACCATTTGCATGGGTCCAAGTACCCAAGGTCGGATTTTAACTACCTAAGATGGAATTTGCTTAAAAAAATAACACCTTGCTGCTTCGTCAGGTGGTTGAGTCGGCATTAGTAAAAGTTTGTTTTATACTTTGGAGAATACTTGCTTTGTGCAAAGCTTATCAGACAAATCGACCAATCAGCGAGGAAACTTGTCCAAACCCTCGCAATTGGTTGGCTATGTTCATAATATCGATTTATAACTTTTGCAGCATTCTGAAATAGGTTTTTAATCTGAGTCGGTTTTGTAGCAGGCATTAGACTTTCAAGGGGAACACGAAAGCAACCTTATTCCACCTTAGACTTATCTAAACCCAGTCACACATAAACGCGAAGAAGACGTGCACACGCACACACACACACAAACACGAGGCACCACAAATCCCAGTCTCCCCACGCGTTCCCACACGAATAGCCACGCGGGCACAGCCACGGACGCACGTGTGGCAATGATGAGCCAATAGGGGACTAGCGTGCGCCAACTGGACAGCTAGCCAAGAGGCGATCGATGCGATATGGTGCGGAGGTGTGTGCGTGCGCACACAAGATTTTGTAGGGCTTATTCGCAGTGGAACACGCGTCAGCGGCGGTAGCAGCAACATCAGCATCATGCCTCTTTTGCAGCGAATGCTGCTGCTGCTGCTGCTACCTCTGCCTTCATACAGCGTTGCTACTAAACCGACCCTGTCGTTAGGGTCTTCGATTAGCAAAAAAAATTGACATCCTAGATGGCAGCAGTCTCCCGATTGGAATGAGTTTAATAATACGTCAAAAAAGGGACACTCAAGGCCTAAAAACCATCCCTATTTTTAAGGTTCGGCAAGTCACCAAATGAGCTGTTGGGAGGTCTCATAAGTAGACTTTTTGGTGTCATGTGGTACCTGATTTGTCCAGTGGAAACACTTTGGGATGTAGAAGTCAGGCCGGGGCGAGACTTGCATCTTCAGTTGAATTTCGTCGTTAGCGTTGGTCACAACAATGGCGCCCAACGATACTAATCTAACTTGTCAATTCGAGCATCCACCTGTTCGGATGTCTTCTCTGCACGGGCGCCAAACGGCACGTTTAGACGCAAATCCTCTTCGAGGAGTCAGCAACGCTTCAGTTGCCCACCTGAAGGCGTTACTAGCAGACATGGCACTTGAGAAGTAGCTTTGACATGAACCAGAAGAAAGGAAAGAAGACTGGGAAGACAAAAAACAATGCTTTCGTAGTGAAAATTGTTGCATTCAAAGGTTTCAGAGGGGACAACATCGACTTCAAATGCTTGAAAGAATTCAAATATCGATTTCCACCTAGTGGAAGCCTCTTAAAGCTCTGTGGAAGCTGAAATCCCTTCTCTTCAACGGAAGGAACGATGTTGCGCTTGCGAAAAATCGGGAATTTGAGCCGGAAAAAAAACAATCCTAGATGTGCTTCCGCATATAATTCATCCATTCTCCACTACTTCAGAGGGGTGGAAAGCCCTCAGAGCTAAGAATTTAATGTAGATAACGGAGAGGTCTTCCTTCCATGCAATCTGCTTCGACCCTAGAATAGAAACACCTTCCAATTCCCTCAAGTAGTGCCACAGAGGTGCAGATAATTTGGATTATTTCGGGATTACAGGGCTGCTTCAGTTGATGGAAAACACCATGGTATTGATCCACCAGAACCCTTTCTCCTCCATTCTCCACATTATTTGGAAGCCACTCATTTTGGGGTTCGAGCACCCCCAAAGGTAGAGAGGACCCAAGTTCCAGAAAATCGATAATCCGAACCAATAAACAAGAACCACCCGCAAAAAGGCCTGAAGGGTGTCCAGTTATCTACGTTGACGTCAGGAGGGATCCAGATCCTTCAGTCCATCAATAAGTAGAAAGGAAAAAAAGTTTTGGCTGGAATATGATCTCAGTCGTATTCCGACCATTTGAGAGTATCGTGGATAGCTGGAGAGCAAAGTATCTGCGCCTCTGGACTGCTGCAAACACTCTTCAACGCCGTCCAGTCCTTCAGAAATAGTCAAATTTGGCAGTAAAAAAAATAGAATGATAGTAAAAGAAGAGGAGAAACTCACAGTAGCAAATTTATTACATGATATTGCCACCTAGACTGTCATCTTCAACAGCATCAGCAGCAGCAAGATAGAACAGATCAGATCAAATCGGATCAGCTCATCAAAACAAGAAAGGTTAGGGCTCAGTTGGGGTCATTCTTCAGGAGGTCACTGCAGACACGCACACTCACACACGGAGGCGTCTGTGGGGTTGGAGGGAGGGGAGGTGAGAACTTTCAAATTAAAAGAAAAAGGAAATAGAGAGATAGAGAAGATAAAGGAGAAAAAAATAATAAACCAGGGTACTTTTCGGGGTTGATCATCATCAGCATCACCACCAGCAACAGTGTCATCAAACGAAAAGAGATTGTGGCGTGTGTGTATGTGGGATTGCAACTTGTATGTGTTGCTCCTCGTTCTTCGTAATCCTCACCTGCTCTCGAACTCCTCGCGAACGAGTAAATACACACACTCACGCAGATAAGATGGTGGTAAGTGAAGTAGGGAGGATAGGAAGGTGGAGAGCAGAAAGAGAGGAGGAGAGACTGGTTGATTGATTAATTGTACAGAGCGGTTCGTGGCGTCTTTTGTGGATGGACAGGCGTATGGATGGACGAGTGGATGGGTAGGTAGGCAGGAGCACATGTATGTGTAAGGTCGGCTGAGGGAGGGGGGGGGGGGGGTGAGAGCGCACTAAACGAGGTTGTATTCCTTCAGGTTCAGCTGGAGAATGGTATCCTTTACAGCGGCGAAGACAAAGCGAATGTTCTCTGTGTCGGTGGCACAGGTGATGTGCGAGTAGATGACCTTCTCCGGGTCGGGGTTCAGCTCCACGAACATCTTCAAGATGAACTCGCGCGCTGCTTTAGCGTCTCTTTGAGGGCCTGTGCCATAAAAAACGCACATAGTTCTAGAAGCAATACATCTCTTAAAACCATAGAAGACTTTCCACGATAGCATCTATTCGGCAAGTAACGCGGTTATATGTTTTAAATGGTCTGGACCAGTCCCAACATTAGTACAAGGAGTATGCCTTGTGGAAGTCTATCAATGATGAATCTCCGGGATCCGAGTGGGTCTTCGACAGACTCCACCAATTGGATAAATCGACAACGACTAGTAGCCTCAACAGACCTAAAGCAATACGAGTAGTGGCGGAAGACAGTATCATGGAAGGTCTAGATCAGTCTAAATGGCAGTGACAATGCGAAGAAACCAGCCTCAATCTGGTACCAAGCTTCCTACCACGACAGGAGTAACCATCTGAGAATAAACTCATACGAAGGCAACACCGCCGAGGGCCTCGATTAGTTTCAACGACAGCACGATGAGGAGGAATAAAGAAATCAGCAAGCTTCTCCAGGATAAAAGTCTTGACATTTAACTGGCTTTAACCTCAAGAAATAGCCCTCCAATCTAATGATTAAATATCTCGCCAAAACTCAAATCCCCCCAAGGCAGTAATTATTATGGAAAAAACGATTCAGAATCTGGAAGCATGTCATGGACTACGACGAATTGATCACAACATTGGGATGATTTCACGAAGATCCACTGTGATCGATGCTTTTGAAGAGGGAGTCAGATAGACCTCAGATCACTTACAACACCAACACGATGGGAATTACTTGAGCAATAACTTCGCTGTTAACAAGAACCACCTTTAAGGGGAAAATGCACTTCGAAAATTGGGACGCACGGCCATCTTTACTGAAAGGTTATTAATGCAAAAAATTACCCGGTTAGTAACGATGACACTTCCCACCTCTTCAAGGAAGCATTCAAATTCCAAAGTTGTCCATGAGCTTCCATGGACTTTCAATGGAAGGCAAAGCTATCAATCTTCTTGCCTATTTCACGATGCAGATGCCCTTCAACAGTTACAAATTCAAATCCCAGGGGAGGTTTGACATTTACGAAGCAGTTTCAGAGCCGATTCACCCAAAAGGTTAATCGGATGATTCAATAGTGACATTTCGAAAGGCAAGGCACCTTTTGAAGTCCAAATAAAGGCAAAGAGACTCCGCACCTTAGTCATTCTAAGGAGATTGAACGTTTGGAGAAAAAAAAGTAGTAGTCGTCGTCGTAGAAGAAGAGTAAAACACCTGAACACAACCACGGGGCGTGGGGTGACCTGACAAGACCCTAGCAGCAAAAAAGGCAATCTCGCTTGCTTGCCTGCCTACCAACGGATAAAATTTATATGGCATACGACCTTGACCCGAACCGGCTAACACAGTCGAAATTGCTCTTGTCCATGCAATAGGCCCTGCTAAAAGAAAGGGAACGAAACTCCCTCTCCATGCACTCTTAGGCAAAAAAAATTGATAAGCCTTTCTCAGCTCAACTGAAATTTCAAAAAAAATTAAATGAATCATCTCAGTCTTTTCACATCACTTGTGCCCCGTCAAGCTAACCCACCTTCCCCCCCCCCCCCCCCAAGGTGGTTTGATTTTAAAGAAGGCTGAGGTCACACACCGTAAACTGTGTTAACGCCGGTCATCCGGTTCCCCTCCTCGAAAGTGAGGACAAACTTGAACACCGGCAGCCACTTTTACCGGTGAGATTTGTCATTTTGACGAAGGCCTTAGCATCACAAGCAGACGGAGGAGATCGATTTTGCATCCACTTACTCCACGTCTGGAAGTCAGTGCCGCCGTTTTCAGGAATAGGCTACTCGAACAAAATACTCGCCTTTCACAGACGAAGTTCAGAAGTTGGAATTGATCTTCTGAGGCATGGCAATAAAGTACTATGTGGACTACCAGCACCACTGGAATTATCCCACCCGAGGTCTGTGTGTGCGACGTGTGGTCTGGATTCGTTCACTGCCAACCGTGGTCACGCCAACACTGTGTGCTGTCAAGAAGTTAGTTGAATTGGCAACAATAAATAACAGCCTTTAGTTTGTGGGTAGTACATCTCCAAATAAACCACAGCACAACACAACCGTAAACACTTTCCACAATGTTTGAACGACTTCAAGGAGAGCTTTGAAATTTTTCCAACTAAGAGTAGAAGGAAGGATGAATAGAACAGAAACAAATGGGAATAGAATGAATGATGATGTCCTAATTTTCGTTGGAATATAATGCAACATTTCGTGGTCTACAACACCATTCCACAGCTGAATTGGCACCTTCTAAGATTTCAAACCACTAACACTGACTCGAAGCCATTCAACAAAGTTATGGGGATCTGGTTGTGTTGTAGAAAGAAAAAGTCCTTCAAACGTAAGCTTTGCTTTTCAAAGCTAACTGTTTCAAGAAAGCTTCAAAAATCCCAACGTTTGATTAGTCACTCGCCCTTGCGACTGTCTAGAGGTGCAGGAAAAGGTCAACTTCATCAAGATAAAAGAGAGCCATTTGCTTACTTCTTTGCATAAACAATGACGCACCGTTTATCCCCATCTTTAGAGCTCTCACTCGTTATTCACTCTGTGGAGTGCCCTCAGCAGTGGCTCACCCAAGAAGGCTTCAACAGAGAATATGTAAACACATATTTGAATATCCACTCTCCTTTTTGAAGTTTCAGTAGCAAGTTCTAGTGCTAGGAGAGCTGGAAATCAAATCAAATCGGCTAAATGAGTATCACTTACGTATAGATGCGTGATACAGCTCTGAGGCATACTGATTTGAAATGACATGGATGTATTCCAGAAGTTGGAGTAAAATGTCTCGGTGCCTACCCGAATCCACTAACAATGAACTAGAGTCACTTGACAAAGCCACATAATTTCGACAGTTGCAGATAGATATAATTGGGAATTCAATAGCCCCCCTTTCTCCTTCAGCTGAAGGATTCACGATTTTTTCGGTTCTCGTGGTCGCAGCTGTAATAAGCTAGATGTCCAATCAAGGGTGACTCTATGAGGGTAAATTTTAACACCGACGGAGTTGGACCTGTGTTTCCAGCACACACACATACACACACACATTCTCCGTCCCTGTCCACAACATCAAGTACATAACAATAACGCTATCCTTTCTTCTCTGGTGCAATTTACGTACATAATTCGTGGCCATCTAAACCGCAGGAATAACAACCCCTAATCTAAACAGAACTAATCACATGATACGGCTAGATACAATAAATTGCTCTCCCTTATCGTGATTTCGTGTGACAGTGGGAATGTTCCTGAAAGGCGTCTTAAGAAGTGTTCAAAACTCCACGGAATGAATGAATGAAACGTCTCTTTTATTTCGCACTTGCTAAAATATTGGCACCTCGTTTAATCCCGCAAATTTCGTAGACAATCCGAGTAAGTTCACTCAGTAGCCAATGAAATCTGGAGGTACTGCAGAGGTGCCGGAAGCTCAAACCTAGCTCCTCGAGATCGACCAAAAAAGCCGGTTCCTTCGAAACTCTACTAACAACTCGACGTCATATTTCAAACGCATCAGAATCCAGTGAGAGCTAAAGAAAGGAAGCGACAAGAGGCAACAATTAAATATTTGGTTTCAAAACAAGAAACTCGAAACCCAGCCAGACACAAATTCCAGCGTTTTATAAATACCCGAGGAAAGTTTCAACTAGCCAGCCAAATTGGGGCAAAAAACGGCTCTCTCCGGTGTTGACTAAATACCAGTCCAAAAATGAACACATTTCTTCTGTGTTCAATGTACCAGAGGGATAAAAACGAGGAGGCGAGAAAGAGCTGGGGGGTTTAATGGAATGTTGAATCATCCCACTGGTGGATTTAATATTCCTTCTGGATTTTGAAATCGCTTCAAAAGATAGACACAAAAATTTCAGAGGAACTGAAAATCCGTTTAAGCCAATCACCAGAACTGAAAGAACAAAAGTCGACAAGATTATGGAAAAATCACAGAAAATAGACCTTCAGTACGCACCGAAATGTGGGAAATAACGATACATCCAATCTTTTCTCTGAGTGTATCAAAATAAAGTAGAAAAGGATTCCAGTTAGCCGAGGTTCACCGAGAAGAAAAACACCATTGCCAATGAGCCCTAAGCCTAGTTCAACGAAATCTGGAACCCGTTCTTCAAATTAAACAACTGCAAAGCCTCTTTCTAAGCATTAATTCGTTGAAGGGTAGCTAAGAGTGGATAGAGAATGAGCCTGTGAGATGTGTATGATACGAGAAATACGAAAACGCAAAAGATGTTTGGAAAGGCGACGGGAAGAGGTGAAAAAGGGGAAGAACGGTGAGGTAGATGCTAGTGGTACCATCAACACAACACGGATGGAGAGCTAATATGGCTGGAAGTCGCAAAAAAAAACACAAAGGGAGACTGCTCTCCCCTGGAAAGTGGGCATCGAAGGTAGCAACCCCGCTTTGAGAACTCAAGTCACCAGAAAAAAAGTTAGTTTTTTGGAGCCTGGGAATGATCAACTTGCAGAAGATAAAAAGACAGAGCGAACTCGAGGAAAGATAACACCTGATGCTCGAGATCGTTAGCTGCTAGAGGTTAAGCCCTTTTGTTCTTGTCGACGTGAAGATATCCTGAGTTTCTGGTCTTTTGAGAATTACTACCGCTTATTCAACTAAACTAGATGATAATACGACGAAAATCGGTGTAGTTCTTGGCATTGCTTGGAACAATAACAAACGATGATTGATAGTTTGAAAAAAAGTTACTTTTCGCCCTAGTGGACGAGTGATTTTTTGGTTATACAAATGCGAGCTAGTCGACTAAGCACGGGAAAGACCGGAGATGAGACCAAGGGGGTGATGTTGATGAGCTAGAAATTGCTAAATGGTGGGAGGCAGGAAGTGAGGAAGCAGTGGATCCATCTATTCGCACCCCTTCCATCCATCCATCCATCAGTCCCCAAAGTACCTTATTATTCTGACGGTAAGAAAAGTCGACGTCTTATAAGGCCATAAGGACGAAGGTGAAAAACAATTATGCGTCCGGCACAATGGTTTGAGAGGCTAGATCCTCCATCAACTGATCAGAGAGGAAAGATGGGCCCCTACCACGCAACGATGTAAAGGAAATCAATCGAGTTGACTGGTTCAATGGAACAAAGTAGACCGACAACAAGTCTATATGTAGGGCCCTATTCAAAGAGTGAAGTGTCAATTTAAACTCCGACCACACATCCAAAAGGCAGCAAAGGGCGTAGAATGCCCAAGAGGCGTAAATAGCTAAGTGAGCAATGATGAGGTGAATGTTGTTAGTTCGCCAAAAATGCTTCAATACCCATTTGGAACATCTTCAAAGGAATTAGCTCACAGGAAAATTAATTTTTTTTCTTCAAATTTGCGTTCGACTATTTCAGGTCCTTGGATTTCCGGCACTACTAATATGCCATCCTGAGTGTTCAGGCTTATTTCAGAGATCATGACCCTCCAAAAACAAATGTGATTTCTTAAGGAAATCGGGAGTGATCCGGATTAGGAAAAAAGTACGGAAACATCGAGAGTAACTTTACAAGTAAATCGGTAAGAGGATTACTTTTAGGATACTTAATGGTAAGAGTTTACAAAAACAACATAAACGAGGATTCATAAAGTTACTGAATGACCTCCCTTTAAAAATGCAACTGAAAAGTTGCACAGAAATCAGGGAAAGGCCCAGCAGGAGCTAATTTTCTCATAAATCACATTAAGCAATTACCCAGGAAACATCGGAGAAATCAGAAAAAAGCTCATCGTTACTCATCCACCTACACCAATTTCTACGCACCCTAAAGGGCAGCCTAAAAAGGTGGAACTTTTTGACCTACAAGCGTTAGAGAATAGCAACAAATTTTGGCCGCAAAAAGGACGGAGCGACGCCCAAGGCTAAGGCTCCGTAAGAGGAAGCGAAGCAAAGAGACGGGGACAGGAGATGGTACGCAGACTAACCGTCATATTCGGGAAAGTAGTCAACGAGATGAGAGTAGAGAATCTTCTCCTCCAGCAGATCCTTCTTATTGAGAAAGAGAATGACTGAGGATTCCTGGAACCATGGGTAGGTGATGATTGTCCGAAAGAGGGCCTTACTTTCCTCCATTCGGTTCTGTAACAAAGAAACTTTCGATTGATCACTATCTTTTGTTCCGATATAAAAACCAATATTTTGGACATCTTGATAGCGTAAGAAGACATGACGGTTATCTACCCAAATATGACCATCACCAAATTGATATAGAGGGGAGAGGAAGAAGAAGCAGGGTTGACAATGTCTACCATGCCGTTCCGACGAAAAATATCTCAAGTGTCCGAAGTCAAAATAGTCGTTTGAGGCCCCAAGACAGTAAGACAACCCCTACCAACAGTACGGATGGGAATTCCAAAGGTGCCTGAGAATTGAGGAAATGTTAACTAGTTTATACTTGGGTCAAATATGCACTACTTCAGTACTTTTCTCTGCTTCGGCGGACAACTCGACTGATGACGGCCAAAAAGGCAATCAGCGACTAGCTTACATGAAGGTAAAGAAAGTCAAAAACGCTGTGCTCCTCTCCAAAGCCTAAGTTTGTTTTCAGCGACTGGAAAAAGGGGAAGGTATTATAAGCGCCTGGAAAGGAGGGAGAACGATCCGAAGTAGAAAGCATATTGAAGTCATACTGTTGCGAAATTTGCCTCCGCCTACACGAAAGCGCAAGAAAGCAGATGTGAAAAGATCCATTCAGAATGCCCAAAGTGAATGTAAGACATGCGGGGTTTCTACACCATATTGGAGGGGCTTTGCTTGTTTTACAAATAGGATAAAAGCAATCGAAAGAAGACAATCACCTTCGAACTGATTTAAACACCACGTCCTCGTAACCTTCAAAACTAAAATGCGGAGCATCTAATTATAGGCATCAGCAATCCGTCAAGAGCGACTCGTTTCAGATGCTAGGGAATCGACAAAAGTGGTTGACAAAGTACTCAAAGCTAAACGGCAAAGAATTGTACGGATTATTGATGTAAAGAAAATTATAAAATCGGTGCTCAACGGTTCTTGAAAGGCACCTCTCCGCAAGTAAATGAGAGGTAGACACATCTAAGTATGGGTTAGGTTTGAGTCGTGGTACATTAATTGCCGCTCCAAGGAAACAAGTTCTAATCACGGGGAATATAATAACTAATAATTAAAGTAGGCGAAACCGCAGGCTAATTAAAAAGTAACAAAAACGATATTAACGCATTCTCTAGAAATGTCACGCGTTTGTGACACGTGATCATGGTAACCGAGGTTGCACCTGACAGGAAATGTAGTAAGTTCGATAACGAAGAGCAAAAATTCACGCCTAAAAGTGGCCAAACGCCAAAATAACCGTTATTCTAATTAACAATGCGGCATTAAGCGCAACCGATTAAAAATGTGGATAGGGACAGCATCAGCCTGAAGCACGAAAAGCCCCACTTAGAAGTGACTAAAAAGTCCCCAAAAGTACTTGGACCAAGTGAAAGAAAATGCAAAACACAAGACTCACCTCATTGTCCGATTCAACAAGAACCTGGTCGTATTCGGAGAGAGCGACGAGGAACATGATTGAGGTGACGCTTTCGAAGCAGTGGATCCATTTTCGGCGCTCCGACCTCTGACCGCCTACGTCGACCATCCTGGTTGATACAAAAGGGCAAAAATTTACTTAGAAATCAGGGAGAGGAAATGTGGGCTAGAGGCAGAGGTTGACCAACTAATTTAGTTCCTTTAGTAGGGCTTTTTTCCTATTCATAAGCACTTGAAGTGGATTACGCCTCTTCCCATTTGTTGATTGAATGATAAGGAGAGCTCGAATAGAAGATTATGGTCGACCTCGCATCACGCAGTCGATCATGACATCGGAAACGCGTCCAGTGTTTGGCAAGAAAAAATAAAAGCATTAGTTCCAACGGTTAAGAATGCTTTTCACCGACCGAGCCTTCCATCCACCCAGTAATCTAAGAACACTAGATGGTTTATGGATAAATCGCGGCAGCTTGTTTTATTTACTTATCAGCTTTAAATGATGGTGTTCAGGGAGAATTTCGGCCGACGGATAACTTATGAAATTTTTTCGTGGGATCGTCAATCAACATTGACAATGACTGCCACCAGCAATCCAATTTGGTCACAACATCTACTTTCAACATGGAGGGCTTAGGCGCTACTTCGACTAGGTAAATTGGTAACTAATTTATGTCACCTTTTCGAAAAATAAGCGCCACAGCAGAGTACTTTCACCATGCAAGATTTGTTGTTCTGCATTTACACAGAACCGACAGATCAATGCGTTAGAAACTTTTACCCTCTAAGCGTTAATTTACTCCATGTAAACTCAGTGTGCCAGTGACCTGATTTTAATCAAAGTTGACCCACTATTCTATGTTCCGAACCGACATTTCACATTTTTGGACTGAGAGAATTTTAGACAAGGTGGAGAAAGAGGGAATGAGAAGACACACCGAAAGATGATAGAGTCCAAATCGAAGGGGTACTCGATGATGCCAGTGGTGGGGACACGCAAACGAAGGATGTCTTGCAGGGTGGGAAGGTAGTCACTGGCAGCTATGCGATCGATATTGTCCAAGTAGCTGGGCAAAGGGAGAAGGGGAATAAGGTAAGAAAGATTAATTAACCAATCAATTCGCACCACCAATTTCTCAGATTATTATCTATAAAATTCGAAAAGCACTGCTATTCCTATCACCGATATTAATTTTGGTGGCAAAGTAGTACTGGGTGGGGTTACATTTCCAACATCAGGGAGTAAACCGCTTGGTAAGGCATACCTCCTTCCGCCTCCCCAAAATAGAAATGAAATAAAATTCTTACAATGACAATGTCTCTGTTAATCCCACCTATTGTAAACAAATAAATTATAGGTGATGTTATTCAGAGCACCAGGCCTTGACCGAGTTAGTGTGTCTATTCGAGTTTGTCTAACCAGAGGATAGAGAAAATGCAAATAACATCTCCGATTCCAGAACCAACCAAAAATAGACTTACCGTGAATTGGGTACGATTGGATGACACTAAATCGGTTCGATAGCAAATCATTATTCATGCGACCAGGCTTTCAAAAATTTATCAGGGATTTCAACAAAGGTGTGTTTGGTATCAACCAAAAGGAGGGTACCGTTAAGGAAACGTGTGATAATGTGAGGGGGTAGAAACAGTTTCTCATATCTAGACAGGTGATATTCCGAGTAACTCGTCGACTGTATCGCCCTATTAATTTGGGCTCCGATTTTCGTGCAACTAAACTGCAAAGGTGATTTAAAAGTGCAGAACAAACTATTCCAGTAGACTGCCAGAAGTGAGAAAAACACTGCTTCCAAATAAGCTGCATTTCCAACTTTTTCTCACATGGTGGAACTGCAAGTTAGCAAAATAGGCCTCTGACTTGGTATTCGCGGCTTCATTAAATGACCTTGCTTCATGTAGAAGTCTACTGTTTGGAATCCAGAAAAGGATTACAAACATTACTCATTGGGCTACGGGAACCGATTGATCAGACACTTCCTAAATGGAAAATTAAAACGCCCGAACTCTTGTGCTACCAAGTAAAGCCAACTGCATTTGGAAAGTTACTGCTCTATCAAACACCTAAGCTGATTCAGTATATCAGCAAAACTACCTGATGAAATAACGAGGTGGATAAGGGCAACCCAAGGTTTGGGAAGATAGGAAATTTCCGACCAAGTCCAAGCGATCTCCGTCTCAGGTGATAGAGAGAAACAATTGCAAACGTAGACCTGGCAGTTCCATGGCGAAGCTACACTAAAGACACGACTACACGTGTCGTAATGCCAAAACGACGACCTTGTGGATGTAAAACAGACTCTTCTCACTAAATAGTGGGTATTTAGATGTCATTATCTAGAAAATCAATATCAAAATTTCATTTTCTAGTTCCTGGGACCCTACGACTTTCAAGTTATTGGTAAAACCACCTAGACTGGGTCAACCTCAACCTTCGAAATGGGTAGACTTAAAGATTTCGACATCGTGGTGGCTTATTTATAAAAGAGGCCTCATGCCTACAGAAACGCACTAAACGGTCGACTAAGGAGGATGAAAAAGACCCATCTTTCGGTTTTTTATATCCTACCCGAAGTACTGATCTTATCTGGACCAGAAAAGGCGGAAAAGGGGAAGAACACCAATTGGTCAACCCACTCTGACATCTTCTGATCACAAACGTGCACTCCAATTTCAAAAGATCCTAAAAATAGCAAAGCCCTCCTCAAATTTTAAATTAGATAAACTCCAGATCCGTCGAGGAATGTTATAAGAATTCCAAGTTACCAGAAACTTGTTAGATCGGCAAAACATTTCAAATTAGGTAAACTTACGTAAAAATGGAGGAAGAGGGTAGATACATCCTATGCATAAAAGTGGGATATTCGAAAAAGTCTGTTCTTCGAATTTCGTAAGGTTGATGGCATAAACATTGAATGGATGGGGTAAAAAGATAGGAACAGCTCACTATTTAGCAGAATCAGCAAGTTGATATTCGCGACGACGATCGTAGCATTCTTTGATACCCGGATCACTCCACAAAGATTTGATGGCCACAACGTGATCTGGATCCAGGGTGGTCACCGTCTCGTAGTCGATCTCGCGCGTCTGCTCTGCGTGCTCCTGCAATGAATGACCGAAACATGCTTAACCACTCAGTAGGTCAACCGAACATTCATTCTCCCATCCAATCATAAGTTCACCATCAATTCACCCGCATATCAAATCGTTTATAAAATTATCCATTCACTCACCCATCTACCAGCCCATCCATCCTCTTGCTCCTCTATTCAATCACTCACCCACCAATACCCTCAGCCTATTTATTTATCCGTAAAAATGCCATTGCATCTGGTTACGATGTTAATTCACCTCAATGACTAAATAAAAGATCTTTAATTAGTTTTCAAAATAATGTTAGAGAAACCAAGGGGTTGAAGCTATTGAATGATAAGGGAAAAGTGAGAAGCAAAGGCTTCAGCAACAGAGGCAGAAGCGTGGTTCTCCTGAATCAACTACATAGCCATCCAGACCTGATGCATTAGTTTGTGAATGGGAAAAGTAACTTTTCTATTTCTATCTCTGACCGTTTTAACCAAATTAGAGAAGGCTCAAGTCCAAATGGATAAGCTGACTAATGTGAAAATCATGTCAGCAGTAGTGACAAATTTAAATCAACCATGAAAACACAAAAAATATTAAACAACGGACGAAACGCGAAGAAAGAACACCTCGGATAGGTAGGTGGGTAAACGGGTAATCCAAGACAAAAGGAACGTGAAAGTTCTTATCGCAGTGACTCTCACTCGGTCAAACGATTGAGCAAAGAAGGAATTGGTAAGCGAAATCCGCTCGCAAGGTGGAACATCGTCACAACTTGAGTGGGACTTCTCACACAATGAAGTTTTTCAACAGAGGATTTGAAAACAGTCACATTGTAAAATGAGACCTTTACTGGTAGCGCTGTGAAAGAGGCTTTAAACTAAGGGGGAGGAGACTCTAAAGCTGGCGTGCCAAAAATTGGCCACCATGATGGAGAAACGGAAGCGTTACCAACGTGCCGATCCTAGCCACAACGGCTTCAGAGGCAACTGAGATGCTACAAAACTACACAATGGAGACCCGTAATAGGAAATAAAATCGATAATTGGATGAGAGAAAGGTGGAGATAATGAAGGAATGGACTTGAAACAACTTAGCAGGCGTTGGTGGTTAGTTATGTATGCAAATTAATACGCGAACAAAAGCACACACATACACAGACACAAACACATACGTGCATAAAGCCAAAAGCTTATGCACATACAAACACACTATATTACATGCATACATACGGGGAGGTAGAGAGGTTGGCAGAGAGAGGTAATATTGAACTGATGGTGACGAAGGCTTTGATGCATTTGACACGTTGACATTCGACGTTAGTGAGGAAAACGCGCTAGCCTCCATTCCAAATTGAACAAAACCATGAAGGCTTTAGTTGGGCCTTCAAAGAATAGTCGGCTAGAAATTTCTATTTCAAAATAGCGGAATTTCGAGAAATCAGGAGGAAAGAAAATACCTTACGAGATAACAATCTAGTTTGAGCCAACGCAAATGAACGCCAAGTGCGTAAGAGATTCAAAGGAAGTAACAGATCCTACATCTGTGAGTGTGAGACTCCTTCGAGTATCGTAATGACAAACCGCATTCACATTGTTGACTGCAAGTTCCATTGAGGAACAATTTTAAGGCATCAGCAAGGCGAATTTCCACCTGGCTAGAGAATGCGCCGCACGCGCAGTTCCTTTGATCACACAAATGAGGAATATTTAACCACGTGCCATGCGTGAGATATACAGGGGCCTAGATGATGGCAGCTATGTAATGGAGTGGAGAAGGCGCATCTATCGGGAAGTGCCAACAAATGACAGAAGTGGCGACGTATTTTAAACATGAATATTCCACACTCGAGGAAGAAGTACTCCTTTCAAATTCAAAACCAATAGTTCAACGCTCCCGCGAGTCTGATCCCTGCTAACTGACTTCAAAAGAACTGATTGGGCTGTTGAAGTGAAAGAACACGCACTCTACGACTCAACGACTTCATCCATTTGGGAAAACAAGGTCACGAACTTCAGAATTCAAATGCCAGCCCTCCTTTCCAATTTGAAATAGTTGCTTCGTATATTTAATATCCAGTATAATCACTGTCAATGACAAGAATGGGCTTGCCGACTTACTCAGGGAAACTCCTTCAAACTTGATGAGGATCTACGAACGACAATCCGCGTGTGTAATACGATTTGCTAAAAAAGAACTTTTAGTAAAAATACTGCAGGGATGACGAAAGAATTTATGGGGGGGGGGGAGAAGGGGGGATGAACCTCGCCCTTCAAAAGTGATTTACCAGCGATTAATCCACCCATCCCAAGAAGGGGTGTGCTTTCCACTCGGCCCATCTTACAGACGGCAGCCGATTCCAAGCATTTAATCAAATTAGTAAAGTATTTCAAGATCCCGTCTACATGAAAAGTTTCCGACCAATCAGTACAGTTTGAAAAGCAAATTAACACTTCTTTCATGAAAACCAGTAAAAACTTTTAAGGGAAATATTTGCAAGCTGCAGTAGCTCAAAGGAGCTAAAAGCACTCCTCTAAAAGATATTCCCTCGAGGGCAATTCCACATACACAAAGAGTACTTCATTAATTCAATCAACGGTTAAATTAGATGTGGTGCTGTTTACCAGAAGAGTAACAGGCAGGCAATACTAAATTCCACCATCTACTTGCAGAAGAGCCAACCCAAAGATTCCTCGTGGGAGATATTGCGTCAATTCAAAAGCCTGAAAAACAACCAATCAGCACCAACCGAGGATTTGGGAGATTGAAAAGTAACCACGAGACGAGGACCAACCAGTGAAAACTAACTCTCCAAATTAACGGAGAGATTTCGAGACAAACTAAGTGACCGATAAGGCGACGAAATCACAATTTAGACCGAGAAAAGTGGAGGGAAGAAGACAATGGAGAAACAGTTTGTCCGGTGTGTCATCGAGTACTTGACAAGTTTCATGCATTCAAAATTTCACAAAGTTTATTCTAGACTAAATCAACCAGATAGTCAGAAAGTGCTGTTTATCGAGAGGACTGAGTTCACAGAACACCGTAGATCCGGAGTCTTTTCATCAACCCTTCCATGCTTTCGGACAAAAGCAAGACCTTGAAGATTGAAAATGAATTGATACTGAGAAAAAAGGGAAGTTCCCCATTAATCCACGACCTCATAGGTCCTGAATCTTGACGTTTGGGAAAAAATTACCCCTAACCAGATCATCAGATCAGCCGCTCAACGAAACCGCAAGGGAATTGACACCTCAGGACTTCACGCGTGAAATAACCACTCGGCACAGTTCGATGGAAGTCAGTTAATAAACCATCGTGGATATTTCAACACATTTATCAACCATTCCGCATCCCTTGATCAACTCAGGCGCCCAGCAATCAATCCAAACCAACCAAACAAAATCGCAATTCACCGATTTCCTAGTTTTGGAAGCTTGAAACATTAAGAATACTCGAAACTAAAATGGTCGAATGTCCACCCAAAACTCACAACTTCCACCGGAACAAAAAAAGGATTTTACCCGGTTGATGGGGTTCTCGTAGGGTATCTTGAGGGTCTCCATGGCCCGAATAAGGGTGTACATGGCAAGATAGATGTTCTGATAAACCAGTTTGATCAGACTGCGTCTCTCCTCATCCGAGTAGCCCGAACCGTGAATAATACGCATCTGCTTGATGAAGGTGCTCTTTCCCGATTCGCCTGTGCCTACAAAAATAAAACGACAAAAATTGGATATTTACCTGCTTTTGTTTTCATCAACAAAGCCTTATTGTCCAGCGTAGACCTGATTTAACCTAGCCGGCCAAGTCTACTCACCTAATCAAGACGGAATATTACATATCGGATTTACCAGATACAGGACTTCTGACTCAATACAACTACTCGAGGTAGAATACCAATTTCCCTGCCTACTTATCTAATTCCACATTAACCATCAAGATTGGAGCTTAGCCTCACGTCACAACCCGAGAGCAGGTTAAACACAAATCCTATCCCGAAAACAGATAAGGTTCCCCCTCAACCCGATTATTGAATAGGAAAAGTAGATGATCCGACAAAACTAGCCATTCACGTAGTTCCAGAAGTCCACCAGTCCACTTAGTTTAGCTTATCAGATTCGAGGGGCATGAGACAATTCCCTACTTATTTACCGATTTCACCTAATTCTATACTGAGTGACCAGAGCTGTTTAACCTCGGATCAGAATTGCCTGATAGACGGAAATATGAACATGCTAAAACAGATTGGAGCACTAACTCGTTTTAAAATCACCCAATGTAGACCTTCAGATTCAATTTAACCATGTGATGAAACAGCTCTGTGCTTATTTATTGGACTTTGGTGACAGAGTAGAGTGGGTAAGTTTGCTGCCTCTTTCTCAATTCGGATGAAATGCTGAACTTGGGTCTTTCACCTACCGAATTCTGAAGGATAAACGATCCGATTCTACCCCTAGACGTGAACTTCAAATATAATCTATTTATTCATGGCCTAATACCTCAACCCTTCCGGTGTCTTCCGATCTAGTCTGCTAATATCAATCCTAGGAAAAAAACCATCCGACTCGCCCCATTTTGCTTATTTTAACCGCGTAGTCAACAAAAATAACCACCGATACTACGTGGCGGAAAATAGGAAATTCCATCAGTCTTGACTTTTCCTAGAAAAGACCAGGTGAATTCGAACAATCGAAAGCGAAAGATGCATTAGCCGATTCCATGCCTATTCGCTGACTTTGAATGCGGTCGACTGTAATATGGATGACCCCTTACGCTGAGTAAAATGCCAACCAAAATCCGGCAGTTTTCGAAATCGTTGCAGAACTGATTTAATCGGGTTTTCAAAGACCCGCACGTAGGATCAGGAATAAATCAAAACTGAGAGAGAAGCAGGCGAACAAAAACAAACCGAGAGTAAATTTAACAAAAAACAATTCCGAATCTGCTTGATATTTTGTAATGTAACCCATGTAAAACTGACGATGAAAGGTAACATTTTAATAAGAACAAGTTGGTGCAAAAAAGTCAACAAATTAATTTAATTGAGCAGAAGGAAAGGCCACGAACTGTTGCTATTACATTCGGGGAAAATGCAGCTTTGTCACTTTGATCTACTACACTTACCCACTTACTAGCCAAACGTCAATGGTCCATAAGCATAATGATAAGAAGCGCCCTTCTACCTGATGGTAAGCACTCTGTATTAAAAAAACGCAAATTTGAAGGTAACGAATGCCGGCAAAATTCGGTCCCACATAGTCAGTAACAATAGATTTTCCTCGCCCTGTACCCCACGGAAGCATAAAATCAGGACTGATTACTTGAAGTTTTCATAAACATTCCAACGAAAAAAGTCGCAAGTTGAACGGAATTGGCATTCACCAATGTCAAATTGGTCAAAAACGCGGTAAAAAGTGTACTCCAGTAATAAAAGAACGAGGTGGGCCTTTAAAAATGGGTACACCACGCAGCAATGAGTAAAAGTACGCAATTTTTAATTTTCAAGGTGCAGAAACGCAAACACTTTAGTCGATAATCGACTGCAGTACTTCAACAACCAGATCAGGCGGCACGCAAGATAGCTACAAATGGGCGGGCGTTCTAAAAATCCGCACGACAAAAAATGAAAACGACGACCAAAAATAAGGAAAAAGAGCCGTCCGAAAGTCCTCGAAAAGCAGTCCAATTTGCAAAAAAAAGACACCCTCTTAGAGGTCTCAAATAAATAAAATGTCCAGACATCCAAGCATAAACAAGCTTACAACGACGGAATGGGGGATCCTTCCATGAAAAAAGACTAGCACAATGAATGCGAGCGGCCCCCTTATAAGAAAATGTAAATAGAAGACAAGCAGTATAAAAATACGCTAAATTATATGCGACAGTAGGGATCCAAAACATCACGCAGAAAAACAGATGGACGATCAAAGAGCATGAAACCTACAGGCGCCCTCAGGGATAAAAAGGATGAAAGCGGACACATAAACGTAAAATTCCAATTAAAGCCAACAAACTGCAAACATACCAAGCAAGAGAAGTTTAAGCTCCCTTCGAGCATCCTTCTTGTCGCGCTTCAACTGCTTCTCGATTTCTTTATTAATTCTATTTTGCTCCTTATACTCTTCACTCCGACAGCAAGACATTGAGGCAAATTCAGCTTATAAAAAATTGTATTCAAGATGAAAATTTGACACAATGTGACGTATGAAACTATACAGCGTATTGCAGATCCTACGGTTTAATCCTGCTAACTGTCGAAGAAATCATGACCATCGAAGACTTCAAGAATGGCGCGGCCACCACATTTATACATTAAAAGAAGAAAATATTTGGTAAGTTTAAAGAATAAGTCGTTTGTTTTTAAAAAAATTTCCTGGTCTTTGTATATTGCAGTTAATATTTAGGTCATATATGGTTTTTTACGGTATAACTGGAATTTAGGTGTTGTGTCAAGCAATGTAATGTAACCCAAATCATTATAAAATGTTTTAGCACCATCTAGTAAATACATTAATATCATTTTGTAAAAAGAAACGCACGCAATTATTAAAATTAAAATGTTTGCGCAAGGTCACTTTTTGAGATATCGGTATGCGGCACTCTCTCCTGGACAGTGACTTAAGCTGCATTTTGCTCCAATAATTATTTACCCAGGGAAACAACTCATATGTTCTGCCATAATAACAACAATATTACCAGAATAATGCCCCAGCATTAATATACTTTTGGGCATACTTGTTTTTGTTGAAGGCAAACTGCGACATTGCCTGAAATAAGTGCACATAAATCGGTAACCGTAACCGTATATATTGAAGCGAAACAAATGCCAGGTATGTTATTTGTGCTCTTGGTCCACTAAATAAAATTAAATTCCAAGTCATTCATCAAGAATCATTCCAAAAACGGTCTTTACAATACTTACTTTATAGTAAGTCATCGAGACTCATCTTGTATTTGGATTCTTTATGCAAAAGAGTGGGAAGTGGGGATTCGTGCTCTGAGGAAGTAGAAATGACTAAAGCCTTGACGATCCTTACTTAGTCACCCCCTACTTAGTTATTTTTTTCACGATCTTTATAAAGATGCTTATCTACTGAACACCAATCCTAGAATATATTAATAAATTAGTGAGTAAGGAGACTTAATGAAACTGAACCAGGCTTAAAGCAATTTCAATTCATTATTTGCATGCTATACAGTCATGTCGAACAAAACACATGTTTCAAAGTGTGGTTTTTCAGTGCCATTTGCTATTTTAATCGGATAGCTATCCCGTACAATGTCAGAAAGGAAAAACGGGGATAAAGCTTTAACCACCATGAACTTTTAAAATATGTCAGTCTTTAGCAAATTTAGAGGTATAAAGCACTAACTTTTTGTCGTTATTTAAGCTAGCGTGACATTGCTTTCATCCGAATTTTGTGGGGAATTTTACATATCATAAGGGGCGATTCAATCGCGCCAGTAATTGTCACACTCTTCAATTTAATCGCTAATAGGATAGTAATGTAGTTTTATGGGAGTTCCTGCTAAGAAATTATGAAAACTTTGCAGAATTTTGTGACGTGCAATTCAAGACTGCTTTAAAAAAGCCTCAGTGGGTCTCAAAATGACTTTAACAAACCACTGAGACTCAAACGAAAATTCCTCTGTCATGGAAACTCCTGCCGATCATTTTATAAGACAATAGATGTTCTTGTTCAGTAATTCGTTCTATAAAAAGCATTGACAAATGACTAATTCATTTACGTAGTGGATGAGTGTCACCACATTTGGTCCCAGCAATTCACGCAGGTGGCAGCGATGGTGATTGAGTATCTCTGCCACTCTGAAAGCGACCTGGTGAGTAATTTTAGTCTAATTACCAAACCCAGATCATTAAATTGACGCTTGGACAGAAGTGGTATTCAACAATAACTGTTGAATTGGGGAAAAGGATCTCTCATCGTGACTGATGACGGAATCAAAGTCGATTCCTGCCATCAACTAATCAAAATGCAGGAGTTTAGGGTCTCCCAGGTAGTCCTATTTTTCTTCTCAAAGTCTGTAAACTGATGGAAGGGAACTTTTCACGCACGGAACCTCATTAAATCGGTGCCAAATGATTTACTGTATTCCTGGTAACTTGATCGATTGTCTTGAGTTACGAATGATTAGCATAGAGAAAGCTTCTTACTGCTGCTGACGTCTTTTTTTCAAATTTGACTGTTTTAAAATCTTTTGCATGTGGCATTTTACACATCCGGTCGCGAATGGAATTTTCTAGCCAAGGTGTATTACAATTGGCACATTCGGTGATAGAAATGTGAGCCTACCCTCTGAAAGTTGCGAATGCATCTATAGGCAAAATGCACTTCTTTCCAACTTAAAATGTGACGTTCGTTTCATCGCTTTAAGATGAACGAGAGGAAGAATTGTGTTCCCTGACGCAGAACATAAGCTTTCATCCATTTTCTTGAATCACTTTCAGATGTCGTATTTTTGCCCTCTGACTTTGTCACACCAGTGAATAAGTCAGTTTCGAAGTCTCATGTCCTCTCGGAAGTAGGTGACTCCGCCTACTGTAATCCAACCGAGGTAATACACACACCTGTCAGCAGTACCTGTCGTGGTAGGGCGCTACTCTTTCCTCGTTGGTGCATTTAAGGAGGAAGAGAGTTATGGCTAATCTGCAAGGGCATTTGGCTTGCCAGGCAAGATTTGTCACGTGATTCACTTAGATATCACTAATTAATGTCCATCCTTCTACATTCACTCTGTTTTGTAGGAAAAAAAAACCCTCAAGAACTACGAGTATCGTGAGGTAGGTAATGAGGCAATTTCGAGACAAAAAATTGTCGCTCCATGCATTTAACCTCCGCATCATCTTACTCTATACGTGACGTCTTCAAAGATAACTCGGAGTGTGAACACACTCCATGAGAACAACAACCCGGCGTTCATTGGCTAGATGCTAGGCAAAAAATCCATTTGATGTGAATGGATAAGTCTATGGAGGCCCATAGGAAAGGTGATGTTGAAACCCAGTGTTAGCCATTGGCAGACGCTTCAACGTCCCATTCTGGAGGAAGGCGATACAACAACCTAGGCACGAGATTTGAATGCGTCTAATATGGAGCATATAACCCTACTTGAATGAAGGTATGCGGGTAGGTGATACCACTCATAACTTCTGGATGGAGGATTTAGAACCTTGAAATGTAAATCAAGTGACAAGTAAGATCGAAGACTGAATGGAAGTTCTGTAAGCTACTTTAGGGACAGATACTCCTAGAAACAGCGGTTAACAAGTGTTATGAACTTCTTGTAAGGTAAATTCCGGGCTCGAAGGGGAAGAGTTCAGTGAAAGCGACTCAAAGAGGAGCCAAAATCTCTGAGAGAGTAAAATCGTTTCATTTGTTGAGTGCTTTTAGACAAACAAGTCTAAGAGTAGCAAGTGCTGGTGCTTCGAAAGCCATTTGCTGTGAATTGCTGATTCCGTGGCGAATCAAAACTAGAGGACTAAAAAATGGCCGTGAAGAGGACGAATGGAATCTTCATGACATTGTTTGTCGAGGACAAAGCTTCGAACAGAGCAGACAGCCAGGCAGGTAGAGTGGGATTTTTTGGCATTAGATGGACATTTCCAGTTAAGCACCGTCGCGTTACGCGGTCTTTAGGATAGTGACGATCATCTGGCGTCTGTCTGTCCACCCATTCAATAGGCTCCTATTCTTCAAACGCTCCTCCTATTCCGTAATAATGGGACGTTTTTGAAGCTTTTCATTTAGTGGACGGTTTTTCTCCTGGATATACCATTAAAGGATAATTTGAGGCTCCACTCAACGTCGAGAGTATAGTCCCTCTTTTAAAGATCCACTGTGAGAAAATCAAAGATTTCCAGTTCAGGGTATGGAATACTTCGCCTCATGTCCAACCAATAGCTATGAGGGGATCCGTGAAGTGGGTCCAATTAAGCTATCTTTTCTTTGACTGTGACAACTATAGCCACCAGCGAACTCCACTAGTCGTCACCTTGATATTGATAGATTATAAAGACACCAAGCTTAGGTGGAAGACGACCAGCAGAAAAAGGAAAGATTCCTTCTTCGAAAATGTTTCGCAAAGCCTGGGACCCATTTAGGGCCTTCTGCCATAATGGAAGGAAATGTAAGATAAATTAAAACTGCAAAATTGATGACAGATCGAGACACTGAATGGAAGAGGTTGTCTTCTGCCAAAGAGATCGAATTCTGGAAGGAAGCATGAAGTGATAAGAGTGGATATGGGAAGAAAGCATTCAGCCATGTGCTTGCAGTATATGTGCCGTCTTTGATGGTAGATATGGAGAAACTTTTGATGTTAGACCTTTTAGCTTCCCACAAAATACGATTTGAGATGTCAGTTTTTAACATCAAGGGAAAAGGGACAGCAATAGAGATGTAAGATGTAAACGGTAACAAGTGAAAGATGTGGCTAGACAGAACGTTGGACATCGAGTTGGGTGGCAAATTCCTTTCTAACTGACATTTTTGGCGGTCCATTCCATTTCCTTCCATCCATCACGTATCTAGCTAGCCGATCATCCACCCAAAAACCATGAAATGGTATGTTAGGGGAGCCTCTATCTATCAACACGGGAACCTATTCTTATTTAATGTCTTTCCATTTTTACTAAAATGAACACATTCAATATATTCCTCCACAAAAACTTTCAAGGCAGCTTTGCAAAGTTGCGTTAACATAACGAATGTTGAAAAAAACAGCCATTTCTTATCACAAATCAATCAGTCAGAGAAGAATCAAGAATACACGGTGCAATGTTAAAAATTGCGCAACAGAAGTGAAAACCATGGAATGGATAGTGTTTGAGGGCTTTTGTCTGCCATCTGTAAAGGTGTATGGGTGGCACACATTTTCTCGGTCGCTTTCACTTCACCACTCTCCCCTTCAAGTTGACGTAGGTCCAGTCAATCCCTTGGTTTTACCCCTCACACCTCTCAAGTCAGGTGCTCTGCTTCTTGAAGTCCCTGCAACGAAACCTACGCACAGATTTTTTGGTCACCTCATAAATTGCAGTACCTTCTTTCACAGTGAAGCTAGATCAGCTGGTGTTGAATCGCCTCCAACAACCCCTCACAATCAACTAGAGGATTTAGACCAT